AATGTAAGTCGGAGTTTGCGCACTTCAGAGCGAGATTGTTGGTCAAAGAGCGTTTCCAATAGGGTAACTTCGCCCATTATGTTGTCATTCGCTTCTTCGTACTCCTCATCGTGCTGGAAAGGGTCATCCTCATCGCGCCGCAGAATCATGGAAGGCTGGTCATGGTCTACGGGGAAGTATTGTGCACATTTCTCACGGCCTGACTCGACCGTCTGCGTGAGCATGACGATGACAGCAACGTCATTGCTTTCGTGGAATACCATATGCCAGAAATGAGCAAGATGCCCTACTTTCGGTCCCTTCATACACAAAAATTAGCGACTCGATAGGCTGCCGTGACATACGGGAGCCCACACACCTGTGTTGCAATGTACCTCCTCTCCTCCAGAGACACTGAATCATTAAGAACGATCGGCGATGCATTGATGAAATCGCATTCGCCTTCCGGCACCCTGAGATGGATGCGCGAGTTCGCCCATGCCTGCACGTTCATATATCGGTTTCGAGCCCTGATCTCGGGATCCGCCTCCAGAGCCCAACGGTGGGCGGGGTCATTCGACAGCATCCCCTCGGCGAAGCGCGCTCGTTGTAGCCATTCCAATTCCTCAAATTTCTGGTGTATCTCTATGATAATAATAAAGCGTCAGCCACTCCGAGGCACTTCAGGACAATAAGTTCTTGCGCAGCGATCAGCACCGAAGTTGTGATCGGACGCGCGCATACTGACCCATGACAGATTGGCACAGAAACGGGGGAACGAGTTCGTTATCACCGGCTTCCAGGCCGGGATCATCTAACTCGGAACCGTCCACAGCATCAAAAACACCTTCATTATCTTCGGGTAGAGCACGCTTAGTCGCCTGGACACTCGTATCGATCTTGATGGTGGGATGCGCCATCTTGGCCGCAGCGATCCTTTGGAAGGCCCGAACCTTGCCTAGGACGCCGCGCGCCTTTTTCGAAACCCGCTTTCGAGTTGAAGCAAGCTTTCGGGTGCCGCTGCGGAAACTGAGAGTATCTGGAGAAGGGGAGCGGGAGGGTGGTGCTGTGATAATCTGCCCCGCGATGCCGTCCGATGGGTCGTCGCTCGTGCCGTTGGAGGGTTGTGGCAGGGATGATATCTGTAGCGTGGACAGATCGGGACAGCTGTGGAAGCTGCCCCTGGACGTGATTTTCTTGGCCAGATTTTCTGGTCGCAAAGGAACAACTTGCTGTCGATTGATATCTAGGGAAGGATGAGTGTTTGTATAGAATCGGGTCGGTCGCGAGGCCACCGTTAAGGTCCACGAAATGTAGGAGTAACAGGGTAGTTTCGATCGGTCTCTCCTACGTTGAGGCAGGAGGAAACGAAGACAGCGAATATTCTCCTTCAAAACGCCGATGCTAGAGAAGATCAAGGGCTCTTAAGATCGATAGTACCAAAGGCATAGAATGAGAAAAAAAGAATCCAGAGAAAAATTACAGAAAAAAAAAAAGAAATTAATGAATGCCGATTATTGGAGCCCCTCACGATACCCGATCAATTTTGGTCTCCCCGCAAATGCAAGAATAATGTAAAATGTTGATTAGAACATGGCCAGCAGCCGTCGATTAATATATAGTCGCAAGAAAGCAGCACAGAAGCAGAGTAGTCCTTGGGAGGGAAGGAACAAAGGGTGTAGAAGAGGGACAGTCTGGTCTGATAGTGTGAAATGCTAAGGTGTTTCAAGAACAAAGGCCATATATGATAGAATTGTTGGTGTGTTTCTAGTGATGTAATCGCTAAGAAGCATGTTGATACACATGAAGAGGGAGAAACCAGAGGAAGTAGGGGAAAGGGAGAAAGACGATGTAAATATCATAGAAAGATCTCCTAGGGAGTACTAGAGAAGTGTAGGAAGAATAAATATGCTACAAGAACCAACAAGGCAACAATAATCACCCTGAACACTAGATACTGTCCTACTACTCTCACTACTCACTATCAATACATCCAAATTATTTTGATCTTGGGAGCAAGGAAACCTGAGAACTCTGTCTCTTCCATGTAGGAAGGGATTGGAAGATCATCAGAGAGGCAAATCTCCGCTTCTGACTGGTCGAGCTGTCAATCGCGCCACTAAAGGCTAAAAAATGCATGAAGAGTGCAGAGCCTCTTCTTCCCTCCTGACTCCCGCCATTACACCCCCAATCCGGCTACTATTTTCATCCTACGCTCTGCGCTTCAGGGCTCATGGCTGCCTGATGGATCCTGCTAACGCCTAAAATTACATGAAGAATCTCCTCTCGTGCTTGAAAATTAACTATCATCAGTTCACAAATGGTTTTCAAGCTCTTTTGGCTCCGAACCCTTGAGGTATGTAGCACCCCATCAGACACGCAGAAATCTTGGTGGCCAGCTTTTGACTAACATATGTAATAGGTTTGGCTGACTGCACGGGTATGTTTTCCTTCAAGGCATCTCGACAAGGATTTGCAAATGCTGACTTGTCGACTACAGCTGCTGGCCAGTCCGACATTTCACAGAATGGTCGGAAGAGTCCACCAAAAGGTTCAACACCTCAGGTATGGTGTACCTCCCGAGGAGATGGGAGGTACCAAGCTTGAAAAGAATGGTATGCGAGACACTGTTCCAGAAGCAATCATTTCTTTGAAGAGATTGTACTGACGGCTATGTCCGTAGGTCCCGGCCTCAAACAGTTTTTCGAGTACTTTAAAGAAGAGATCAAAGATCAGCTCAGGGGAAAGCCGCCGAATAAACTATGAACCCCGACCTCGCTAGACCCTCGATGTCTCTTGAGTCGATGTACGACATTATTTTGATGACCTACAATGATACCCACCATCGCTTTCTCTGCTCTGGCTTCCTCCTCCTCAATCACCATGACATGTCCATACCGATGAGATTTGTCTAGACCGGATAAAGATTGGGCTGCAGACTTCCTCGCGCCGTGAGCTGCAACCCTCATTCCATCCGAAGAAGAAGGTTTTGCTTCATTCCGCTTTGCCCAGCCGATTTCCATGGACTGTTTGGCTAGGCTTTGAAGTTCGAAGCATATATAGATAAATAATTTTTTTAGGTTGATTTCTTCAAAGTAGCTTTGTGTTGACGACCGACGAAACGATCTCCAATTCTTATAACGTACGAACGCACAGGGGTACAGAAGCCCGCAAATAATGACACCCTGACAATCGCACCGCCTCAGATCGATCAATGAAGAGCACAACGTGCATCTCGGCCATCTCGGCCACTACTGAACCCTGATGCCAGATGATAGATCTCATGTAAAGAATGACCGTCCGAGTATTGTACCTGCAGGAGGCACACGTGAGCCCATTTGTGCATATCTCTTCGAAATATCCTATGCTTGTAGTCGAGCAGGTGGGGATTTTGAAGGTATCAGCGCTGTGTCGACTTTCGGATGTTTCATGCCGGGCTTTCGCTTATAAGGACATTCATGCTTGATCAGACTACCGTTGCCCATTGGGAGTGAAGGTTCTGCTATGATCCCTCCTATGTATGTATGTACTTCTTTCAGCTCCATTGCTAAAATGTAAATACGCACCACTACTTTCCTCGAATCTTAATATGTAACCACCTGAGAGAATCCGATGACTCCTCGAGTTTCTTGCGCATAAAGCACACAGCGAGAACTGAAGACCCCTATGGTGGTGCTCCGTGACACGAAATGTATGCATACGTCGTCGGCAAGTCCGGCACACGTAGGCTCATCCATGACTTTCTCTGGTCATAGAGGGTCTTGCGGAAAAGGGCGGATGGTCGGTCCTAGGTAGTGATTGATAATACCTTCATGAAGGACATATCCAATATATTCCGTGTCTGAGTAGTCATTTTTAACCATCTGTAGAAATGGACGTCAAACATCACATTGAACCATGACTGAGGCTCTGACAACGTTTGTTATGCTCAATGATATTAATCATCGGATGACCCGAGAAGCCAGCTCATCAAATGCTGCAAAGCACCTTAAGTGGTAATTATTACCTCTCTAAGAAGCGGCAGGGGTGCTGGTAATGTGTAAGGTATGGTACGGAGTAACGTTCATTAGCTGAGTTCCTTAAATAGCAGCCTTGATGAATAAGCATCTCAAGCTTTGGTATGTAGTTATGCAGTGGCAGGCTGACAATCCTGCTCTGGTACGGAGTAATAATACGGAGTAATGAACACCTCAATAATATGACTAATCGGGAGTCCGTACTAGTTTTGCTGATCAGTCTCCAGTACGGAGTACAGAGTATCCGTACTCCGTAAGGTAGTTCCAGTATGGCATAAAGGGAGCCGACAGCCCAAGATTTGATTGAGAATGCCACCCTAAAACCAACTAACCATTGTAGCAATCACTTCATAAAATAATGTCAAACCAGTTCAAAGGTCAGGCGCCCTTGGCTTCCGGCTAAAACACTTTTCTTGTATGCCCATTGGAGAAGCAGGGCCTAGACTGTCTCACATGCTTTATGGCTATTGGCCAGTGTCTCTTAGTTGCAGCGCTAGGGGGCGCCTAGTCTTGGGTCGGTTCATATATTTGCTGGCACTGGTGTTTGGGCTTTTCCAGAGAAGGTATGGTGGTACGGTAACATGGTACCGGGTCAGGCCAAACTCTGAGACCACTGGACTGGCAGTACAACGTACCTTGGGTACCGTTACAAGCCTGCAACGGGTTCTGTCTTTCATTATTTTCCTTCTCCTCTTCAGCCTTGACTTTCCAACCTTTTCTTCTCCAGTCTTTTCCTTTTTATCCCGCCTCCTTACGCTCGCTTCCTGCACATCGTGCCTCCTCTTCGAATCTAGTCATTCGTTAACCCCTCTATCACTGTGTACCTCTTCTGACTTGAAACACCTGCACTTCACGCGACAAAGAGGTCTCACTTGTTTGGATCACCTCTGTCAGCAATCTCAACACAACCCCGTCTGAGTCGAGTCATCTCATATACGCTCACCGTTCCGGCTTGAAGAGATTTGACTAACTCAGCTATCGGTCACGTCTCACTCCTCACCCATCATGCGAGTTGCCCGTCTCTCGTTCTTCCTCTACTCTCTGGCCCTCGTGGCCGTCACAGCTGGACAGAGCCAGGGAGTTACTGACATAGCCGCCGCCGTCACCTCTGCGGCCTCAGTGCCTACCGCCGCCACGGAAACCTCGACGACCTCGACTACCTCATCGTCTGAGTCCACAGAAACCACTTCTACTACTAGTTCCGAGAGTACAAAGTCGACATCAACCACATCAACCACAGAGACTACATCGACCACCTCCAAGGACAATAACCCTCCGCCTACCACAACCTCAACTTCCACAACTTCCACCAAAGACAGTGCTCCAGCGCCTACCACCACCTCTGATGGTTCGTCGGCCACTGAGACAAGCAGCTCGAAGACGACTTCCAGTGCGAGCGATGTGATCAAGACGATTACCACGACTCACACCATCAGTGGAACACCCGTGCCGACCACGTACACCACCACTTCTCCTCAGGGCAGCAGCTCGACCGATTCCCCTGGCTTGAACGGCTCAAACCAGAAAGACTCTAGCTCTGGTCTCTCCTCTTCTCAGAAGAAGATCATTATTGGTGTCGTTGTGGGTGTTGGTGGTGCCATCATCATGGGTGCTATTGCTGTAGTTATGTGGAGGATCCGTGCCAGAAGACGTGCTGCGGCCGACAACGATGAGGCTGCCGATCTCATGAGTGGTACCGCTGTCGGTAGCGGTGCTCGAGAGAAGGCCCCCAGCCCTGGAGCCGGCGGTACACCATTCAGAAGTACACTTGACCAATACCACAACCCTGGTCCTGTCAATGCTGCGTCCAACTTCTAGGGGCGTTCTAGATCTGGCCACTTCGGCTGACGACAGTTCCTGGGTACCCTTCAAGGTTGTACATCTGTATGAGTATACGCACATCTTTTTTATTTGGCGCTTATGAGTGGGAAGCATCTTTGTTCTTTTTCCTTGCTTTCTTTTCATTGACTGCGTCCTCGCCATCTGCGATCATATCTTTTCTTGCATCGTGCCGCTGGCACATGATAGACTGTCCGTCATTCCTTTTGAAGATCACGCTCCTTTCTGCAGCACAGCTGTTTATCTCACGATGGTCCTTTTTGATTCCCCCTTTCGAACAACTTGATTATGTACAGGAATGCAGTGGTTCGTCTCATTACCGTCGCCGTCTCTTCTTCTGCAACAATGGTTGTGATCGCATAGCCATTTGACCAAAATCTTGTCATGTATGTACGTTTTAATTCCAGACGGAAATAGCCCAAATCACATCCAAATTTATCACCAACCGTATCTACTGGCTACTTGGTAGGCCACGGCGTGTTGAGTAGAGATCTACGGTACAGCTATTTGGCGGATGTTTCTGCAGCAATCGAGATTAGGAATTTCAGCAAGGAATACAACAAAGCCATATTACGGTGTCTAGGTTACTGCGTGTCCTCGCCAGACTCCAATATCATTAGATGGACTGTGATGGACCGAGTCCAGTCTACAGATATCCCGCAATAAGACAGGGATTCGAGACCTAAAACAACCGCTCCCTTTCCCCGCTTCAGGAAAGGCATATCACCTTTTTTCGATTCCGTGCTTGGTTACTCGTCTCGTCCACTCAATCAAATGACGAATCCCTAATAGTTATCATTTACAAAACAATGCAAGCTTGATAACTGCAATCAATTGGGTCACTGCGCTTATACCGGGGTTATAGCGCATCGCAGAGTAGTGGTATCCGCGCGCGTCCACGGCCACTGAGCCAAGGCCCGCCGTGCAATCAAAATGAAAACACCTACTTCCTTGTTCTGTCTGTTCGCTCAGACCAGCTATCTCCTCTGTCTCTGGTCATCATATGCTCTGATTCAAGGGGTGGCGGCTTCCAGGCATGACCCCGTAGGTGTGGTATATGAGGCGGCTGCGGCGCCACCGTTGGGAAGACGACAGGATCTTCAGGTTTGGGTTACGCCTCCCGTCTCTTCTGCTTGGAGCTTTGGGCTGGATGGCTAATTGAATTCGTTAATTGATGATAGTCCTTTGCGGGGACGTTGGGTGGTGCCGCGCCTGCGGTGAGTAGTTTTTGATCTGGGTTACACATGGGGGGGAACGGCGCTGATGATCTCTTGCGTAGGTGACGAGCACCGGGGATGCTGAGAGACCGTACGGTGTTGATGGAAACACTTTTGTATGTTGCGTTGCGTTGCATTGCTACGGTTGAAAGCATATGGTCATGCTCATGGTTATCATGCAGACGGATTTCGAGTCGGCTGCTCAACGGAGGTTCGTCTGATCCATCGATCAAGCAGACGGATGAAATACTGATGACACTCGTGCTTGACAGCTGCAACGAGCAGTTTGATTCGTGCCAAAAGGTATATCGTGCTGGTATTTTCAACATGGGCCGTTTCTGACTGGACTTGATATAGATCGCGAATACAGACCCATCGGCGTCCTTCTCGCTGCAGGATTGTCAGAACCAGCTGAGTATGTGGACTCTCCCTCTCACGGAAAGGTATGATATGGATTGACATCGATCTAGCAAGCTGCATGTCAGTATCAACGGTGCAGGCCACGGCGGCTAGCATCAACCATCTGGAATCAGCAAGTGGTACGGATTCAGGACCGATAGCTCAGACGACGATCCCATATGATGATGAATTCGACCTTGTGTGTGATCTATGATGGTTTTCCAGGTACAAACTGCTGCTCCAACATGAGCATGCGCCCAATTCCTCGTGTTAAATCATGAGGTAGATGAATTGATAATTGCCGTACATAGACTTCTACTTGTATTCAGGAGTACATAATCTCTCAGTCTAGCATAGATAATATGCTAGAACGACCAACAGGTTGCATTTCCTTGCAACTGGTGAGGTGGATACAACACAACCCGTCAGAGTGTTGAGAAAGGGGTTGGACTGGAAAGATGCCCTCATGAATAGACGCTGAGATTGTGCACAGCAGCTGGGAAGGCTCTTAGCAAGGCGAGTAGTAATAGTGGCAGCAAACAGCATATCACAGTGGAGTATCGAAGACAGATCAGTCTGGGTGTTGTGTTTGTGGATTTGCTTCAATTTTTGAGTCATTGGGCTTTATGGTTCCATTTCGGTGACTCTGGGATCAGATGGCCCGTCGGGGCCTTTAATTCCTCCTTTCTGGCTTACGAACATCGCTTATCTGACGACGCCATATTCACAGCTTTCATTCTCGAATCTCGACAGATCGCTGTAGATAATCTTGCAGCCTGAGGAATGCAATATTTCCTGATGAAGCTTAGTGTCGGCTCCGAGTCACATGACCCCGTGTCAAGGCGGAGACGCGATTTTAGCCGATTGTGACTGTCATTTTGGGGAATTCCCGGCTCTCTATCGACGCGACGGTGGCTGGTACACGATAACAGAGCAACGATATTAATCTCCAGACAAGCACCATGACTCCACAATAGACATCTGCTATCATTGATTCCCCCATAATCACTCAATGTTGTCGGAGTATTGGCCTTCATCATAAGAGCACCAACTGACCCGATCTTGACTTCTTTTTACACGACCGCCACCATACAGACTTCCACTTCCCACTTCTAGATTCATCATGTTCGCAGCAATCCCGCCAGCACAGCCCTTCGCCTTCCAAGCGTCCTGCACACATTATACTCCAATGCATCCGTCCCCATTGTCGCCGCGCAACTCGACGCTTGCCTCGACACGGCCAATAAACGGGTTTCCCTCCGCATCGACTGCATATACCGAACGTCGCGCAACAAGCGACACGGACCGAGCAGACTCGGAACCAACCCAAGCACACAACTTTTTCTTCTCTACGGAAAACACCAACTCTGCCACGACCACGACCACGACCGCAAACTCCAGGCCCTTCTCCTCGCGCTCCCGTACCTCGCCCACCTACGCCCAGCGCTACGCAACCCTCTCCAACCCCCTCAACAATGCCTCACGAACATACAGCACCTCGACCTCACCATCCGCGCGCACAACAAGACGAACCATATTTCTCAACCGAGTCAAGGCTGACCGGGACGCGGAGCGGTTTGAGAACCGCGGCGAGCAGCTTATGATGATGGAGCATGTGGCGGAGCAGAAGCATTGGGGGGAGCTGATGCGGAGGCGGGCGGATGGGCTCATGCAGGCGTATCAGCTGAACGAGGATGCAGGGGAGGACATGGATGGTATTGGTATGTATTCTCCTCTAGAGAATGCTGGAAATCAAAGGGGAGAACTGACGGTTGTGTAGATGATACGGACGTGCGTGCTTTGGATGAGTACGTGTCTGAGGAGCAGGCTATGGAAACTGCGCTGTTGGAGACTGTGCATGTGCCATCTGGGAATACGGGTGGAACGCATGATGCCAGCTTCTCGTTCAGTGATGAGGAGTATGAGGATATTTTCATGGATCTGGCTGATCAAGGACCACAGAGCCAGGATATGGATATGTCGAGTGGATGAGTATCATTGTTCATGTCTGCACAGACATTGGGAATTAGTGATGGTCATATTGGGCATGCATTGCTGGCGTTTAGACGGATATCTGGCGTTGGTGGTTAGGAACGTTTCTCAGACTCAGGGGTCTTGAGAGGCTGGTTGTTGCATAGATCTATCGGCAGAGGCCGTGTCTTCATTGATGTAAATTAGGGTATCGACGTGGTTATATGTACAGAACATGCCAACAATAGATGGTAACAAATCTAACCAGACACCATCGCATCAAGCCTCATGCGATCACCATACCCACTTAACATAAGTTCTCAGGTGCCACAACCTTATTGCTGGGGACAGTCAGGCAAAGATGCCCCAGACCCGTCGTCTTTGAGTTCCTCCGGCCAGGGATTCGCAACCAGTTCTTCCGGGGGACTACCCAGCGCTTGCATCTAGAAGGTATGAGCATGAGCCATAGAGAAGTACGGGGAAAGAGAAAAACACACCTCTTGCATCTTATCCCACACGGCCTGCCGATACTTCGGATCTTCATCTGTGTACCCTTCCTCCTCGAACTTGGCCACAATCTCAGTCACGAGCTTAGCCTGCTTCTCGTACCGCTCCAGATCCTCAGCAGGAACCTTGCCCTTATTCGCCGCCAACCACGGCCCCCACTTCGCATCCAACTCCTTCATCGGCTCATACAGCATCTCCTTATTGGAAAACTGCTCCATCACACCGGCAATCATCTGAGTGAGATCGAGATCGTCGCCCCCATTCCCGACGCCCGCCTCCAACCCCTTGAGCAACTGCATCAGCATGTCCTCCGAAATCCCCCCGTCCTCAGTCGCCGCCGCCGTAGCCTTATCCCCAGACTCTTTCATCCGATGGATAGTCCGCTGAATGGCATCGTTGAAGGACTCTGGCGCAGCCGCTTTACCGGCACCAGTCGCAGACCCCGACACTCCACCGGTACTCGGGCCCGCGCCTGCACCTGCACCCGCGCCTTCCTCCTGCTCCTCCTCCGCCATGACATCCGCCAGCAGCTGCTTCAAAAAGTCACCAGGCGGGATCCCGCTCTCCTCGAGCTGCTTCGTGAACGCGTCCGCCCCCTGGTTGATCGCGGTCTCAAACTCCTTGTTATCCGCGGCGCCGGACTCCTGCGCCGCGTGGTTCATCATCTTCGCCATGTCCTGCTCGAGCTGGCGCATGAAGGCGTCTTCGTCAAAGTCCTCATTGGCGGGGGCGGGGGCGGGTGCGTTTACAGGTGCGTTTGCGGGCTGTAC